TTAAATATAATTACTGGTTAATTATAATTAAATAATTAGTTATCATTAATTGAAAATGCTTGTGCCTGCTCCTTCCGCCTTAGTTTTCGTACCCTCCTACCTCGGTCCACGAGCCACTACCGGACTTCAAGGTATAATTTCTAACTCCAATCCCGTTCTCGACGTTTAGCGGACCGGAGAACCACCTATACGCGCTCTTGTAGCACGCTGGAGGGAGCCCGGTGCAAAGCATACGACGGCGGGTAAGCCCTATACACGTTCTTGTAGCGTGGTGGGGACGACCCTCGACCTCGACACCGACATGCGACGACACTGCTACGCAAAGGTATGATGGTCCAAAATCTCATTCTCGAAGTTTACGACGGACCGGAGAACCACCTATACGCGCTCTTGTAGCACGGTAGGAGGGAGCCCGCTGCGACGCATACGACGAGGTGGGAGAGCCCTATACACGCTCTTGTAGCGTGGTGGGGAGTCACTGCTGTTCTGGTACGTCACTGTTGTTCTGTTGTACGGGTACTGCTGAAGGCCCCATACACGCTCTTGTAACGTGGTGGGATGAAAATACTACGGCTCGGTGTCTAAGACACCTACCATGCACGCTCTAGTAGCGTGGTGGAAGGCCCCGCTCCCCTATTTTCCCCCAAATGGGGATATGTCGGGGTGGCTGCCAAATTTTCACTGAAATGTACAAAAGCTTGAGCAATTCGAAGACCTTCTTGGGCAACAATGTAGAAGACCTGTACTCGGATAATAATACACATAAATTGAACTAGAATGAGCAGAGGACCTATACGAAGAACAGTGGACTTGTGGACTAAAACTCTAAGTGATTTCTAAAGATCAAAACCAAATGAGATAAAATCAAACTGTGACCAAATTCAAATCAATGTGAACATGAAACTGAACTTACAAGAACCCAAAAGACTTTGAACAAAATGTGAGCATGCAATTGAATTCAAAGGACTGAAGGGGACTTGAACAAGACTAGAACATCAAACAAAGACTTTGATTTGGACTGGATCTGAATCCGAATAAAGCAATTGAACTCGCACTTGAACTCAGGCTATATGATATCAAGTGGGGAATTGTAAACTTGATGAATTCAAGTCTGAATGAAACTGAATGGATCAAAACACATGCAGAGATCAAAAATTGGATCGCACACGAGAAGCTCAAACTATAAGACCTTAATGCACGAACTCCTACAAAAATTCCTACATGGTCAATGTATTATGCTTACAAGCAACAACAGATAGTTGCAAAGCATACGAGCAATCAAAGATCGGTCCCTGCAGCAAATGAAATCATCCTCCACCCGGAGGGTGGATATGATGCAGAAGTAATGGGTCTTCTACAAACATTTTCAGGAGGTCATAGTAGATGCAGCAATCCCCTGCAAATGGATACTTGTGGATAACAACAGTGTATTGAAAGTACAATGAATCACTGTGGACACAAGTACGAATATCACCTACGACATTGGTGATCAAGATCTTCATATGTCGTTACAAGGGAAGCCGGTGCATGAAGAGGGACCGTCCCCTGTAAACAAGTACAATTATCAAAACCACCTGAGATTGGTGAAAGGTGGATGTGATGCAAGAAACGAGGGTCTCCTACGAATATTCCTAGGAGTTCGTAGCAAACACTACGGATCCTTACAAACAAATACAAGCCACTTGTGGATAAGAACAGTTGTGTGTTGTGAGTACAATGAACCACTGTGACACAAGTACATGTATCACCTAAATAGTGTGTGATCCAAGTGCTGTCAGTGCACCGGGTATAAGGCAACCCGATGACGAAAAAAAGGACACCCCTGGCAAGGAGGAAATGTTTGAACAAATTAGAACCAAACTTCCTGGTGTTCCAAGTTTCTCCCTTATCCCATTCTTAGGGAGAAAACAGCTCTGGTATCCAAAAACACCGGAAATAACAGGTCTGCTACACTGAAGATCCTAAAAGGAGTTCTCCCCAAATCAATAGTCATTGACTCCAAAGTTCAGAAAGACCCTTCCCCCGGTGAATGAGAAAGGGGGAGTCAATATCAAGACCCACCCCACCGGATCCGCAATACTCGTGCTAGCGGACAAAAGGCGTGTATAATCTCTCAAATGAAAAGTTGTGTGCATCCAAACGATAGTTATCTACACAACTACAAATATTTCAAAGTACCCCTGCACATGCAATATTGTTTGTATACACATAGGTACACAATGGGGTACGTCTAAATCAATATAAAAATCACCCGCATGGGCCCCGGCGAGCGTGTTATTGATACACACGTGATGTCTAGGGATGTCGGCGGTGACCAGTGAATTCTAGTTCAAACCTGATCCTTCTATACGGATCAATAGAAGTCGACAGGGTTCGAACCTTTAAACCAATGCACAGTTGTAGCGACCAGTGTATTTGTTTTAATATAAAATCAAAGAATTCACTAAAAAAGGCATAAAGCCTGCGAAACCCAATCCTCCTAAGCAGGTGAATAGGAGTAGACAGGGTTCGAACCATCAGATAAATATGCGGTCACGAAGTCGATCGGAATATTATCTATTACATTCATATTCGGCCTTCAAGGCCTTCAATGAAGATCTCAACGGATGGGTCAATTTCAGGCATTCTAAATGCCTCCCAAAAGTCCAAAATCCAAGAACTATTCAAATTCCATCCCAAATATCCAGATATTTAAAACTGAAATTCAATCTATCAATCACTTAAAGCAAAATTCATCCACCCTCCGCAACAGTTTGCCGAGGTGGACAAAACTGAAAACTACTCTAGCTCACAAAAGAGCCAAATGCCTAGTCGAAAATATCACTAGGATCCATTCTCAAACAATCTCCTGCCAATAAGGACGTGGTACGTGTCCTCTAACCGGCGGTTGACCGTCAAATGGCACCGCAGGATAAACGGTTATGACCCGGGGCCCTCTGAACATAGTGGTTTTGCCGCCAAATGGCACCACGAAATACCGGTTATGGCCAGCGCCGTTCGTTCTTATTGGCATCAAATCCTTGAGATATGAATCAATAGGATATGATTGATAGGGCATAAAGCCCTCTGTCAGCTAAGGTTGATTCAAATTTGTCCCCTTAGACAAACATTCACCCCAGGTCTACAAGGTACCCTTGACAGCAACCCATGGCTGCCGACAAGGATCCTTCTATCAGGTTGGGCGACTACCTCCTCTGACTAAGTAGACCAGGGACCACGATGGCCCGGATGACGGAACCATAGGATCTTGATCGGGTCCATCATCCATTCCCCCACCATCCGCTTTAAGTATAGGATGGTGCAATTTCTACTTTAAATATCAAATCTTCCATCTCAAATTCCAAATCCAAAAATTCAATTCTTCAATTTCCAAATCCAAATCTATTGCTGCTACTATATGCCAGATAATACATATTCTCTACGTATCTGATTGACGACTAGCCTTAATTGAAATTTCTCTCTCGTGATCGGGAGGGGTAATTAACTATAGGGGCTTGCGCCTATAGGAAACCAGAACTCAGATCATAAAGTCCTCGCAAAATGAGGGCGAAATCTCTGGGTAGTGTCTTATCTACAAACCCATCTGCCTTCCAAAATTTACCCTGGAACTTAGTCCATTAAAACTCCCTCGCCGAATAAGAAAAGCGAGTGGAGGCCGAGGCCAAATTTTCGGAGCCCACAATCTACATCTCTACCAACATGTCCATTTAAATCTCCTCCAATAAAAACTCTTTCTTCAAGAGGTATCTTTTGTATTAATTCTTCTAAGTCATTCCAAAAATTTAATTTAGAACTCATATTCAAACCTACTTGAGGAGCATAAGCACTTATAATATTAACAATCTTATCATCAACAACAATCTTTAAAGCTATAATTCTATCTCCAATCCTATTAATTTTTATAACATTATCATTTAAACTCTTATTTATAATAACACCTACACCATTTCTAGTACGACTCCTACCCGAAAACCAAAGTTTAAATCCTAAACTATCAATTTCTTAAAAAATAATCATCATATTAAAAATTAGTAGAGACATAACTCTTTATTCTTTGACACATTTTTCTTGGGCAATCACCTAAGATGGCACAGAACACTTTTGGAATGAACAATTGTACTGCTTGGGAGAACTTAATGCTTTTAAAAAGACTGTTGTTTGCTACTATTTATTTTCAACTTCGTCCATCTATGTTCCCTGTTTTCCACTGATTTTGTAGCACTTTGCCTCTTCGTTTGCCACATTGAACTTATTATTTTCATTTTCAAGATTTAATATTCTGGAATATCAAGCTCTTATGACTTCAATTGTTATAACTTGTTTCTATTATCACTCCCTTATTTCTCCAACTTTTAATGCCATTTTGCATCATAATATGTCAAATTATTATTATAAAAAATTATCTCAGCTTCACCATTTGAAATATTAGCACCTAAATGTCAGGGCAAAATGCTAGCCTCTAATCTTTGTGCCTTTAGGCAATGCTTTTTTCAGGCACAACTTAGCATGCCTATGGCCTCATCTTGACTCACATAAGCAGCACCTAACCAAGGCTGAATTTTAACAAATGCCTGTCTTTCTCTCCCTCCCACACAAACTTTACTAGTAGTTTTCCCCATGTCACACCACATCGCTTTCCACTAGTCTCACCATTTCTTGATCCCACTTTTTTGGCTAATTTCTATTTACTCAATGGAGGCTAACAGTTAACCTTAGTGATGTATACATAAGATTAATCCTTGGATGCATTAGTTGGCATTAAGTAGGACCTAACATCATGAACCCATGCACAAGTTTTTGATGGTTATATGATGTAAAGATTTTAAAATTATTGATAAAAGTATAAGTTGATGTAAAATTGAAGAACATATAAATAATTTCTTTTCTTCAGGGTTATGCCATTATCAAGCATGTAATTATATTTACCTTTTGATTTTCTTATAATGATGAGTTTTAAAGCTTTTACTGCTTTACAAATTTGAAGCAATTGTGGAATGCAGGTTATGACAACTGGACAAAAGGTATTGTTTGAATTTCTAGGAACCAATTACATCTTTAATGTTAACCAAGCTTTGGTAGAGGATGAAGAAAAAGCAAATGACATTGAAAGAGGGATAATTACCAATGACACATATATTGTATTTGAAGCTGATTCAAGCTCAGGGATAAAGGTTGTATATTTGTATTTTTCACATGACTTATTTGTTCATATTACTATTAGAGAAAAATGTCAAAATGGTCCATAGACTTTGTATAGGATCATCTTTGTCGTAAACTATAAATGTGTTTAATTTAATCCCTTGATTCCTCAAACATGATCCAGAATACTCTATCTATTAGCTTATTTTAGATCTGATTTGGGGAGTCAAAAAAACTAGTTTAGTCATATTCTTGGACTAAAATAATCCACTATAAGTATAGTCGATGGACCATTTTGACTGAACTTATGCAATTTCTTATGCTTTTTTTTTTAATGTTTTGTTTTTATTTTTCTTAGCATATTTTAACTTTTTTTGCAAGAAAATGACAATTCGTTGTAATTTTAATTAACACGACTTCCTCCATGGATCCTCATGCAGATTATTAATCAGCGTGAAGATGCAAGTAGCAAGATTTTCAGGCTGAAAAACGTTGATCTCCAAAAACTTGGAATAGGAGGACTTGGTGAAGAATTTGGTCAGATCTTTCGTAGAGCATTTGCTTCTCGCGTTTGCCCTCCCCATGTTATAAATAAGTATGTGATTTAATTGTAGCTACTTTAATGAATAATCTTGGTATTCTCTTGTGTATTTTGAATGTCAATCACTCTTTCTTATTGTTCTACATAACAGATTGGGCATCAAGCATGTGAAGGGCATGCTGCTTTATGGGCCTCCGGGCACGGGAAAAACACTTATGGCTCGACAGATCGGAAAATTGTTCAATGGAAGGGAACCAAAGGTGCATCCTTAATTGAACAGCTCAATAGTATTTGGAACTTGAATAATGCTGTGCAGACATGCCTTCCCTTAAAAGAAGAAGTGCTTTGGCATAACAAAACTAGATATATATATATATATATATATATATGCTGCATATCTATACTCGTATGTCTGTCTTTATGTTAATTAGCTGGCTTTAAGCTATCCATTGAGTTTTGTCGCTACACCTTCAATATCAACGTTTTTTCTTCTTAATTTGATCAACCTAATTGTGCAAGGAAAAATAATCCAAGTTGAATAATCTTAATCAACCTACAAGTGATCAGAATTCTTTCTAATCCCTTTGACATTTACATTAGTAAATTATAAAATAGGTGCATAAATAGGTGACGTTTAATGATGATGATGGAATATTACTATCGACATAGATTATTTATGCTTAATACACGTCACATGTTATAAAGTAATATCTTCATTTGGCAAGGAGTTACCTCACATTTTTCACTAACAAATATTTGTTGGAGCTTTTCTCAACTTGTAGTTTGTACATGATTTTCTGCATGTTTGCTTAACATTTAGGTTTGTAGATACCTAAAAAGGATTTTTTTTGTAGCTCCTTCTAATGGTACTTTGGATTTGTAATTTTTTTTGGTGGATGTCAATTGTTGTTGGTGCTGATGTAAGTTGTAAAGATTTGTGTTTAAAAGGTCTATTGTTCTCAGATTTATCAAGGTCCATTTTGTTGTTATAGTTAGATTACCAAATTGGTATTAAGGGGTTGTTTTTTCTTCATCAGTGTTTGGTTTTATAGTTCATGCAGACTAAAGAAACTAAATTTATCAATGGTTAGTAGTTTCACCAGTTTTCCTTTAACGCTTTTAGCTTCTACTTATCGTTAATGCTCTATTCACTTATTGTTGCTTGTTCCTTTAGTTTTGTAGGGAGTCCAGAGTTCAAGCTTTTATTATGTTTTGTTTGTATGTTGATATATTGTTAATAATAAATCATGCCTATTTCGAAATGTTTAGATTGTTAATGGGCCTGAATTAATGAGCAAAGATGTTGGAGAAACAAAGAAAAATGTGAGGGATTTATTTGCCGATGCAGAACAGGAACAAAGGGCACGAGGTAAAAAACCAACATTTTAATACTATAGATGAATTCGATGGCAATAATATTGTCTTTTATATTATTGTTTCTTCTCATTTGATTTGCATTCAGGTGATCAAAGTGACTTACATGTCATCATATTTGATGAAATTGATGTTATTTGTAAGGTATGAGCAAAGTAAAATATCCTTTTGATATGCTTTTGACCTCTTTTGACAAATTTATGGAAAAGCACTTTTTTGAAGTTCCAAAATTTCATACACGATTGAAATTATTAACTCCTTTCCCCATTTAAAGGTTGTCTTTTAAACTATAATTCATATTTTAATATGACTTTTTCATGGTTTTTTTTATGCTTTTGAATCTTATGATGTTTGTGCTCATTCTTTGTGAAGGTTGGCCATGAACATCACAATTTTGTCCTGATCTATAGTTCTATATTCTCAACTTGAGTTTTTAGCCTAGGATCAAGCATAAATTAGGATACTAATTCTTATGAAATAGTCAATGGTAATAGTTTAAATTTATAATGACAACTGTAGGTTTTTTCTCAGATAGATGCACCTGCAATTAAACTTTTTGTTGCCTAATTTTTATTTCTAGTAATTGTCTCCAATAATCATTCTAAATGAACTTATCCTGTTTAATATTATTCATATGACTAGAATCCTTTTCTATTAGTTTTCCAATAGACAAGCTCTTCTCAACTGATGAATTCTTTTAATTCCATTTCATGTATAGGACTTGTTTCCATCTATCGATGTTTAACATTGGTTGTCCTTATTATAGCATTCACCATTAAGATTCCTTTATGTTCGGGTTTTCTTGAACTTTCACTTCCAAAGTATTGGTTTTTCAATTTATTAGCCTCATAACCATGCAATCTTTGTTTATGTTTCTGACATTTACTTTTTTTTGTTCTCATTTAGTTGTAGTTAAGCAGATTTCTACAAAAACGTTATAATAGAAAATTGTTTGGAGTTACATCTATTGAAAGATGAGATGGCCGAAATCAAATTTAGGTGATTTGTAGATGTAAAACGAAGGGTAAAAAATGTGCTATTAGACAAATTGATAAAATTACTGTTATAATTATAGGAAGATAGGTAGATTTAATGTTATATGGATAAATGTTGTGCAAAAAGATTTACTAAAGATAGGTTTAATATCTCAATGTAAATAGATAAAATATAGCGATGTAAGGTGCTTGTAGGTTCCTGCAAGGGAAGGCATTATATTCATTCTTTGTTATGGCTTTGGGTTGTATGTAAAAGACTTTTGAGAGGTGAGGTGTAGGTTTGGTTTGATTTTTTTGCAGGCCTGGAGGTTGGCGAATATGTCTCTTGTAGAGGATTGTTTTCTGAGTTTTTTGGGGTTGAGATGGGCTCGGTTTTGACTTGGGTTTAGTGAATCCAAGAGGTGTAGAGGTTGTGGTAGGGTTATGTGTACCTTGGAAGGAATTACGGAGGTGTTGGATGGCTTGGATGAGATTTTAAAATTTGATTTGTGGGTTAAATATGAGATGGTTTTTTGCTATGGTTTTCATTTAGGGGTGAGGTCAGGGGCTTTGGAGGTTATGGGAGACGTCTCTTAGGATTTGAGAGGGGTCATGGGTGTTGGCTTGCTTGAGTTTAGGAGAGAACCTAGAGGGAAAGAGGGAGAGAGAGAGGGACTACACACAATAGATAACTTGTTTACCAATCTCCGAGAGAGGATGTTCAACTACCAAACTTTTACTTATTGCCCACAAGCAACTATTTATTTTATATATTGATGAATCACAAGGTAGAACATGAGGGGTCTATTTATAAGCAATGAATATAAGAAAATAAAGGAGATGAGAATGCCAAGATCAACCGCTATTTATGCAAGGAGAGTGAGCATGAAATTAATTTTCCCTCCCTACTCATGGTACATGCTTGAATGTTTTCACGAAGCTGCCGACATCATGCTCATTTTCTTGAGAATTGTAATATTGTTGGTGTTGATTTTGTAATCTTAATATAGGGATTTGTTGATGATGATCGTGTTTTTTGTGTTGCTTCAATGAGGATTCTTAACAATGGGCCCAAAGTTGGGATAAACCTAATGTTGATGATTTATGAATTTAACTTCTTTTTTATTTTTATTTTTTTGCTTTGAATTTCACATGTACTTTGGGTCCTTTTTTTGTAAGTATTCCTCACAACCTTTCTTTTCAAAATTTCATTTTCTTAAAAAGGCTATTATTTTTTCCTTGATAGACTAGAGGGTCAACATGGGATGGTACTGATGTTCAAGATGCTATTGTGAACCAGCTACTAACTAAGGTGATATTTCTCAAACTCCATTCTACTAAGAATAGTTAGAATATCATTTCTTTGAATTGTCTTATAGGCTAACTGCCTGTATTATAAATTGATGAGGTTGAGGCCTTAAACAATGTCCTCCTCATTGGAATAACCAACAAGAGAGATTTACTGGATGAAGCATTATTAAGGTATGCAACTACCATATAGAGTTGGTTGTCTTCTTGTACATTATACTTATTAAACCGAAATGTTCCATTAAAGCTTGGATTCACTTGTGACAAAAGGCAGTGCATTCATGTTCCTAAAATAAGGATCAAATTACCAAAACCCATTTTTAAAAAAAAAATCTTAAAAACTATTTTAAATAAAATTGTAATTTGAAAATTTAACACATTAACTTAGCCTTGACATTTACCATGCATGAAGTTAAAAAAAATAGCATTTGTTACATAGAAATTTTGAAAAGCCTTATTCTTTAAACATTATATATAATATCTAGAAATAGGAACATTTTCCTTTTTTCCCTTAAAAATTAGTAATTTGCATAGCTTCACAATTGATTGCATGTGCTTGTGTTGCATAAATATAATTAATGATATGCTACGTATGGAACCATGAGTCATATGATATTAATAATCACACTTAAAAGGTAGTAAATTAAGAATTAGAAGAACTTATTATCTGAATAAATTATTTAATTTATTAGTTTAAATAATTTGTGTTTTATTTTGAGATTTATTGTATTAAAATAATTGTAGATTTTGACAGGTGGAAACATGTTATTTCGTTCATCCTTTGTTAATTACTTTTAAATTTTATTTTAGAAAGTTATTTAATGTTTATTATTAATATATAGGCCTGGGAGATTGGAGATTCTTGTTGAGTTCAACCTTCCTGATGAAACTGGACGTCTCCAAATCCTACAAATCTACACGAATAAAATGAAAGGAAACTTTTTTCTAGCTGCAGACGTAAATCTTCAAGAGCTCGGTATGTCCATCGATGATTTTATATTTGAGTCATAAAGTAGAATAGTAAACTTATGTATTGTGTGTGTTGTTATATTTTGTATTGTTTGTCAAATAGCTAGTGATCAAGATGAACATTTTTTTTCCCGGGGGGGTTGGGGCCTTGGGGGTATTTAGGCCAATAGCAAACTCACACACACATCACATACGCAAGATTCTAACCCAATACCTCTTGAGCTTTTATGAATAAGCATTATGTTGATTATTATTTTTGAACGTCAGACATGTTGATGTTAAATTTATTGTTCTCTTATATGAGAAATTATTCTCTGCGGATATTTTTGAACATCAGTATCACGCCGCAGCAGAATTCAAGTTGGATGGTTGAAGTGGAGGAATGCATCGGGCTTGTTATGTGATAGAAATGTACCCCTTAAACTTAAGGGAAAATTCTATAAGATGGTAGTGAGGCTTGCAATGCTTTATGGTGCCGAATGTTGGCCATTAAAAGAGAAGCATAATACTAAGTTAAGTGTGGCAGAGATGAGGATGCTCAGGTGGATGACTGGCTTTACCCTTAGAGATAGGATACGAAATGAGCATATACGTGAAAAGGTTGGCGTAGCTCCAGTAGAAGATAAGATTAGAGAGAGTCGCCTTAGATGGTTTGGTCACATAAAACGACGGCCTTTCGATGACCCTGTTAAGAGAGTAGAGGTATTAGATTTGACTTATGTTAAGAAAGGTAGGGGTAGACCTAAAAAGACTTGGTTAGAAAATATTAGGAATGACCTTTCTTTATTAGATTTAAACGAGAATTTGACTTTTAATATGACACAATGGAGAAAAAGGATTCATGTAGCCGACCCCACGTAGTGGGATAAAGGCTTGATGATGTTGTTGTTGTTGTTGTTGGATATTGGACACAGCTAACGTCCAGAGTCCAATGGAAATGCGCCATGTCACCCGGTACTGAGTGGTACCGAGCAGTACCGAGCCACGGTACCGAGTACTGGGTGACATGGCATATTTTCATTGGGCTCCGGACACCGTTCAGCATCCGCACAGAATAATTTCTCCTCTTCTTATAGCTATCATCATTGGCCTAATATCTATAATTTGTAGTAGAAAATTTTTTCATTCATTCTATATCAATGATTTTGATGTCAAATGGCATCATATATCAATGATTATGACCAAAGACCTTTGATCTAGAGGTTTTGACACAAAATAACATGAATTATAATTATGGCTAGAGCATATATGTTCCCAATGGCTAAAAAATCTTCAAGGAAAAGGAATTTAATTGAGTTTGTCATTATTCCCCTTACTATCAACTGTAATTGTAAGATGGTAACATTTAATAAAGAGCTCACAAAATGAGGCCGAAATAGTTTGGTAGTAATCTTATTTGAAATCTGATGTCTTATGAAAATTTGACCTAGTACATTCTTTCAAACTCTCCCAATTAGATATGTTGGGGTGCAAATTTTTGGAGCCCATATTTATATCATTCATTTACTCCATCAGGGACTTTATTGAAGAACATTTATATACTAATGACTATATCACAAAATAAACTATAAACTATAGTAGCTCAAAAGAAAAGGAATCATTTTGCATTTTAGCCGTCATTTTAACTACTAAGAAACTTAGCTTTCCTCTTTTAATAATAATGATGATTAGAAATATTATTTAGAGGTCATTCAATGTAGCATTAATGATGTAGACAAAGGGGGGATCAACACGAGTCCAAAATAAATCAAATTTTGACTTCCCTTGAGTCTAGTGGCTCAATCAAAATTGAGCTGAAATTTTAGATCATTTATGAGCTGGTCTTTAGTTCATTTATTGAACTAAGGGTTAGCTCATTATTAGTTATGATTTTAGTTCATAGTTATCTTTTTATTAAATATACTTTTTATGTTTTTAATGTTTTAAGTTATGATGTCTCTTGGAATTTCAAACCAGCTTTTGGAATTCTAAGATTTGCTTTTTTATTTTTCCATGTGTGGCTCCTTGAATTCCACCATGGTTTTATTGCTCTCACCCCATGGGATTCCGGCCGGCCGCTGGTTTTCCCGTGCCTGGGCTCTTTCCTGAGGCCATGGCCCCTTGGTTCCGTGCGGCTTCCTCGTCTCCCGTGGCTGCCACTTCGGTTCTTGGGTTGGGATGTGTTTTTTCGTGCAAAATTATTATGTGTTAATGTTGTGGTGTTTAGAATTCCTATGGGAATAAATGTTTGTGTCTTTTGGTATTCCTCTTTCATACCTATATATATGGGAGGATTTGTAATGTTTTGAATAGTTGAATGATAAGTTATTTTTGGAAGCTTTAACCTGCGGGTTTGCTTTGGAAATCCTGCGGGCTCTTTCCACCCTTCTTTCTCATCCCCTCCGGAAATCCTGCGGGCTCTTTCCAACCTTTCTTCTTGGGCTTCTAACCTCTTTCGTCTCTCCGCAAGTGCCACTCCACCTGTATCCCTCTTCTCTAAGTGCAGCAACTTTAGGGTGTCGTTTTATTTTGTTTGCAATAGTCGTTTGTATTGGTGTAAGTTTTCTTTTGTTTAGTTTAAATTGAAATGTAAGAGTTTGTTCTTTCCTACTTCTCGTCCTTAGTCATTTTCATCGGTAGAAGTCCGTCGTATCTTTGTGATCAAGAGATATAGGGTCCCCTATATTTTTTGATTACATCAATTGATAACATGAATATGAGCTGAAACTTGTCCTATCATAGCTTATTCTTAATACATTCCTTTTTAGAAGCACCTTTTAAATGTAGGCATGACTTGCCACAAGTTGATACATCTCCCATTGGCACAACTGAGCATAGATAATAAGTTTATTATTGCTTATGTTGGAAACTAGCTGAACTCATTGCTGCCCCCATGCCATCCTTTTTTTTTTTTACTATGGTGGAAAAGTTAAAGTCAACAACTCAATAATCTATTAGCATCACCAGCTAGTTTTATAAGATGACTAATTCTATCTTTTTCAAAATGCACAAGCAAGCATTTATATTTATCATTTCCTTCTCATTCTCCTAAATATATGATATCTATTTATAAGAAACAATACATATGATGGTATATGCTTTACTTAAATAATTGAAATAACATGGGGCACACGACATTCATTGCAATATATATAAAAGATCATTTGCAAGAGAGATAAATCATTGTAAATTATTTTGATAAAATTTTATAGAAATAATACATATTTTTTGCCTGTAAAAGAGTAAGAATTATAAATATCTTAAGTAAATGCATGCGTTTATGAGAAAGAAAACATTATGACTATCTAGAAATGAGATTATCCATATTACATCATCCGGAGTTCTAAGATAATGATCTAACCCTAAGACCTTGATCTTCCGAGAATTAGTTGGGCTCTCCTTAAACTTGGCTCCACACTTCAACTCTTCAATTTCAATCCAATCTATAAATCAGACATATAATTAAGTACATAACTCAATACAATTAAGTCATTTAAAATATGCTTTCACTTTTACCAATCATCTAGATATACTCGAAAATCTTTACCCTAAATAAAATGTATGCATCAATATTATTATCATGATTATTTTCATATCTATATTATATAATACATCAAACCTTATTTATAACTAATATATAATGGCTACAAGCTATACAATAATAACACATATCTTTAGATATTTATTTAAATAAGTGCATTTATTTAAATTGGCTAAAATTTAAATTTTTAAGTTGAACTCTTTATTTAGCTTACACTTAATAAAGTTACATATAATCCATTAGTATCTTTTATTGCATCAATTTAGTCCCTGAGCTATTAAAGATTGATCTAATTTGTTTTCAGGGCCAAAAATAGTTCACTTAACACAAATTAAATGCGAGTGATTTTAGATAGTGCAATTGTATATGATATTACATCGTTTATATTGTTTTATTTTTTCATTTATTAAATTGTAATAAATAAAAAATCAAAATAAAATTTAACCTACTAAATAATAAGGGTTAATAATTATTAAAATAAATATTATTTTTTAAGAAAAATCTAAATGAAAAATCATACAAAACTCCAAAATCCTTATTATAAAAAAATATTGTCGTTGATTAAAAATTTTCAAAATCTTTGCTACAAAAATAATATTATTTGTTACAAAAGAAATTTTCTAATGAAAAGAAAAAAAATTAAATTTTTTTATTTATATGGGAGATTCATATAATATTTCATTAAATTTTATAACTGAGAGATCAAAGTTGGATCAATTTTCAATAATCGATGGAATAAATTGGGATAGTGTGAAACTTAGAACCAAATTGAAAGCTTATTAATAGTTGGATGACTATTTTGAGCGTATTCTAAATTTATTTAAGTTGGCATCAATTGATTTATATTAATTACATGTTTAATTATAAAAAATAATTGTCTAGTTATAAATTATAAAATAATGTAATATATGATTTCATAAATCATCAATGATATTGTCAATTAATATATTTACATATTCTTTTCTCACTAATATTTATGATATCATCAAAACGCTTTCGTATTTTCATAAAAATAGAAAATAATCTAAGCCTTCATAATCTTTTATGCATTCTTATGAGTTCAAATGATAGATCTCTTTTGCTTCCTGGCCTTTGCCACTCATTCTTTGCTGGCGCTCTCGTATTAATTTCTTATATTATATGACACTTCACAATATATTTTATGCATTTATTTTATTCATGAAAAATAAATTTTGGACAAATCTTTTATGAGTAGATTTACTTCTAAAAGTTTTGTCTTTTATATAAATTGTAATAAATCATTTATTTTGAATACTTTGTTATTTCAATTTAAGTGGCTTGATCAAATATCAAATTTATTCAGAAAAAATTACGTAATAATATTGATGTTTATCAATTAAATACAGAATTTTTGTGGTCTTCACAATAGAAATGAAGGTCAAATATGATTCATAAAGCGGACTCGAAATATTTGGAAGAAGGCTAATGTTTATAATGACCAAATGAGAATTGTGTGGAATATGAATTTTCCACAACTTTTTTTATTGTAATGTTTTGAGGCATTGATTTTGGATGTTCATTTATTATTTGCTGGCTTTAATATGTTCTTTAAAAATTTTTTTTTACTTAAAAGTCTCAATAGACATTAAAGTCATTAATAAGAATATTGTTGATTATGAAAGAGTCATAGATTATGAACTTTAGAACTAACATGTAGCAAATACAAGAATGTTGTTGGTCACTCTTCCTCATCTTCGTTTTAATTAGCATCACATTTTAGTTCTCTTAGATGAATTTGGCAAAGATTGTTGCATAACATGTCAAAATTTCATCCCTTGCAATCCAAGTTAACTATCGAGCTAACATGTCTAATTGAGGATGCCAAAAGTTTTCTATGTCTTGTATAATTTATTTTTTCTATTTGTTTTCTAAAATCATTGTATTAAATGAATCTGGATTATTATTCTATCGAGCTAACATGTTCATTTTTTAATCCTAAACACACAGTTGCACTGACAAAAAATTATAGTGGAGCTGAGCTTGAAGGTGTTGTAAAATGTGCTGTTTCATTTGCCTCGAATAGACAAATAAACATGGATGATCTCAACAAAGAAGTGGATGAAGAAAACATAAAAGTTACGATGAATGACTTATTGAATAGCCTTCAAGAAATTATCCCTGCATTAGGTGTTTCCACATATGATCTCCAGCAGTGCAGGTATCACTCATTTTATAATATTTTTGTATGTTTACATGAAAAATTATATCATGCTCAATGAACTATTATTTTTTCCATGTTTCTTTTGAAAAGTCATGCTTTGCCTTCTGTGGAATATATAAGAGCTTTCCAAGTATAAGTTAGCTTATTTGGATTTGATAACATTTCATATATATATTAATATGTTGTGTGTGTGTGTGTATATATATATATATATATATATATATATATATTAAGGTTGTAAAAATTGAACTAGAGATAGATCCGGACAAGCGAGGTTCAAGGTTCAGATGTAATAAATATTATTAGTATTTAAGTGATATTTAAATGATAAGATAACTTTGTAATAATTATGAAATAATTTAATTTTTGGATTAAAAATAAATAAAATCCATACATAAATAATATATTCCATAATTTAAAGTTAAATATAAATATTTACTAAGTTATGTTATATATTTAAATATACATAATTAGTAATTTTAAATTTAAATAAAAATGTCAAAACTTTTATTTTAATTCATATGTAATTAAAATTTAATTTATATATAACTTGCACCTATAAATTATATATAATATTTACATTATAATTTTTTTTAAGTTAGACTACATTATTTATTTTAGATTTTTTTTCTTATTATTTAATTTCATATTTATACAAAGTTGGCTAAAAAAGTTTATTAGTATATTATAATCATCTTTAGAAATTCAGAATCTATTTTAAGATAATTATAATGAACAAATGATTATAAATTTAAGAACTTTAAAAAATAATATAAATATTTTTTTATTTGAATATTTCGTATATATTTACTATTTGTGGTGTGTGTGTGTGTGTATACATATATGTATGTATATTTATATGTAATTCATCAGGATAAAATTTGATGGCTTAGATTACTTTTTTTTTTTTACCAAATCATTTTTAGTTTCCAAAAGTAAAATCAATCCTTTTAAGGATGGTGCTTGCAATTTTTCCTTAAACCTATTTTACTTCATTATGTTATACTATTAAACATAAGATTAATATCTTACATTATATTGATTGCAAGTGAACTGATTTATTAATTACAACAACATCAAGCCTTTATCATATTATGTGGGATTGGTTACTTTTCTCTTCTCCATTGTGTCCTATCAAAAGGTTACATTCTCATTTAAATCTAATTAAAACAAGGTCATTTGAAGTATCAGCATGCCCGACATACATATATGATGGTGCTAAGGTGCAACCCTGCATGGCTTACTTTCATTCAATAAAACAATAATACCTTGGAAAGAAGGCATAAACTCAAGAAGAGAGCTCTTAAGTATAAATATGCTATTCGTCAATTTGGTGCATAATAAACGCTTAAATTTTAACAAGTATGCATACATGATATAATATTAAATAATTGCAATGAAAATAAAGAAATGAAATTGCTATAAAACAAATGTAATCACCCATTTTAGTGCTTTCCGTGTGCTGAAATTATATACAATTTTCTTCAATTCTTAATTAACCTTCCTTGAATGAAATCTAAGCATCAAGGGTACAAATATGTTTATCTTCACAGATAGATTAGAAATTTATTACTCATTAAATACAATTTAAATTTTCATTAAATAATTTGTTACCAAATTTCTCTTTGAAAATACTTGTATGTGACATTTTTGTTTCAATTATAATGCTTGATTCTCCCACAGTCCTATTACAGCAATTATGAATTTTAAATTACGATAAAAGTAATCAATTTTAAATTACTATAAAAGTTGCCTTTAACAAATCAAAGTCGCTAATACAATGTTTAATATTACAAACATCATCAAATATAATATAAAATGTGTTGAATGTTGCCAAAGACAACATCAGATGGAACGAAATTTATCTAAGTCGACATAAAATACATCATTTGATCATTAAGGTAGCATCAAGCATTCTACATAATAAATTAAATTTTCTAATTCCCTAAAATGATCGAACATTTTACTTAAATAACTTATATCTTTTACTTCAACTTTTCTTCTTCTTGTCGAATGGAGACTTATACAATTTGATTTCTTCCTATTGAGCAATCATATACTACTCACTTTAGATATCTCAGGTCTATTGTTCAGAGTGATGGTGAAATAGATGGGGATTTTATTGGTAGAATTCAAGTTGGATGGTGGAAGTGTAGGAATGCATCTAGCTTGTTATGTGATAGAAATTACCCCTCAAACTTGAGGGAAATTTTTATAAGATGGTGATTGAGACCTACAATGCTTTATGACGTAGAATGTTGGCCATTAAAAGAGAAGCATAAAATTAAGTCGAGTCTTGCAGATATGAGAATGCTCGGGTGGATGAGTGGCTTTACTCTTAGAGACGGAATACGAAACGAGCATATATGTGAAAAGGCTGGAGTAGCTCCAGTGGTAGATAAGATTAGAGATTCGCCTTAGATGGTTTGGTCACATAAAACGTCAGCCTTTTACTAGCCGAGTTAGGAGAGTAGATGTATTAGATTTGACTCATGTTAAGGAAGATAGAGGTAGAACTAAATAGATTGACTAGAAAATATTATAAATGATCTTTCTTAATTAGATTTAGATGAGAATATCTCTTAACATGACACAATGAAGAAAAATAATTCATGTAATTGACTCCGCATGGTGGGATAAAGACTTGATGTTGTTGATTAAGAAGGAGAAAACTGTAGGAGTAAGGCTTGGAGACAACATTAAGAAGCTCACAGAAACGGAATTATAGGAGAAGAGGGCGGATGGGGCTCTGTTTCAGATGCAACCAGAAGTATACTCCATGACACGGATGTAAGGACCGAACTCTTCAGGTTCTTACTATTTGTGATGACGAGGGAATGGATGAAGGTGTTATCTTTCCACCTTGCATACAAGGTGGATCTTTGGGAGGGGAGTACTATTAGATCGGTCTTCTCCTGCACACACGATTCGATTGCCCCAACTGGAAAGAGCAGTTTATGAAGGATTTTTAAGGAAATTAGGAGGGAAATTTTATAGTAGTGGATGTTTAGAGATTTCCTTTTGAATTTTATGTATTATTATTATTTTTTTAAATGAATATTATTTATTAAGTAGTATGTTTTGCTAGGGTTAGGGCATCTTGAATTGAGCTGAAATTTGAGATATCTTATTTTTCTTTGGGCTCTAGCGGCGTCTAAAGATTTGGGAGAGATCGATCCTCTTGAATAGAGGATCAATTGTATCTTGCTATTTTCTCCCATTAGTTTGGTTATTGCAATAAAAAATCTACTATTTTTTATTTTCATTGGAGTTTGGAAGAGTTTTCTCGTTGTTTTTCCGAAATTGACAGGATTTACTTGAAGTCTTCAAGTGTTTCCTATCATTTACTTTATTTCTTCCTTCCAAAAGGTTCTATTCTTTTGACAATCTCAACAATAAAAAAATACCCTCCCAAATTTTCTCCATAACAAAAAAATCTCGCACCCAATTTCCTTTCTTCCTCCTGGTTCCCGCCTCCTCTCAACTCCTTTCGTTTGTGCAACACTTTTGGGTAGAACGAAAGTTGATATCTCACACAAGGAGTCATGTTATATACTTTCATTTGCATTTGTTTGCTCATTCATGTGATCCCATGTTCGCCTGCTCATCCGTGTTGGCCCACTCGCTCTGAGCCTTGTCTGTGCTTTAGTTAGGGGACAATCCAATCGATTCTAACAAGAATGTCTTACTCAAACCAAACTCAAGTTACAGATGGTTGGGAGAGTCTAACAGCATTAACATCCCCTATTTATTTTAAAAGAAACCCATGCTAATTTGGAATATTAATATTATATATGAGAATAAGAAATTTATATAAGAAGAATTTTAACAATGAAGTATACCACATCTTAAATTTTCAAGATATGTTGTGTCCTCATATCTGGATCCTTTATATATTATGTAATAAAGAAAAGTGGAGAGAGAACCAAAAAGTAGATAAGCCATAAGAATGTTTCTTTTTGTATTGTCATTCTATTATGTTTAGATTTAAAATTTCAAAAAGCAAGGAGAAATAGCTTATCCAATAATTTAAAGTCTAAAAAATTTGGATGATATATTTTCCCTTCCTTTCTAAAATTTGATATCAAAAAAATAAAAGAACATGAATTAGTAGTGGCCACTTAAAGCGTTGTGGGGCTAATAATTTTTATTTATTTATTTATTATAGAGTTGTATTGGAGGTTTTCTACTCTTTTTTTACCATCATATTTTATTTTTTTTACATCAAAAGCATGACAAAATTTCAAGTTCATGTATTTAAGACAGTAGATTTATAATATTTCATATAAATTTATTATGCTATTCTATCTATAAATTTTAGTTTTAAAATTATATTCATAATTTGTTAAATAGACCGGGATAAATAGATGAAGAAGAACATAAACAGTCACATATAGATAAACACTCTATTTTAATGACTTTTTTAAGTATGATTTGCATTTGAATAAGTTGTACGTCAAGGTCATCATAAAGAGTGGCTTGAATACTGATTTGAATTTTTAATCCACGAAGTGATTATGGGTATGTGTCTTATCAGCCCTTGGATTACAGGGTTTCTATCTTGTGTGCGGCCTCATGTAGGTGCATATGGTTCATAGGTTTCACCAAATTCCATTAAAAGTAAGACTTGCTAAGAATGAGTAAACCTCTTTCAATATATTAAGAAGTCATGCATACACCAATCTTTGGTTTCACTCATCTACAAAATCCTAGCAAATTAGGGTAGATCCTTGTTTGTAAGGTACATAAATTAGTTTTTTCGAATTCTATGTAATGCACTTAAATCCATGGTCTTTGAGAGGATGAGATGCTTCATATATACTATAGACATATATTATTTTTTTTAATCTATAGCCTTAATTATCTCCATTTTTTAGATATTCTGATGTGCAAGTCTTTTATTTATACGAAGTTCGAAAAATTCTGAAAATTATTTTGTATTTGTTAATAATTTTTTTTGAAAGTGGTGCCTTTTTGTATAACACATGAAAGTACTTTCATTTGCAATAGTTACAGGTGTAACTCTCTTATAGTAAGATATATATCTTATTTTCTTACTGATCATACCTAATCTATGAATTAAAACATGTTACAGATTTAATGGAATGATTGACTGTGGTGAAAGACATAAGCATGTATATGAAAGCATCATGTTTCTTGTAAGTCAAGTTAAAAAGAACAAGCGTGTCGAGCTATTTGCTTGTCTCCTGGAGGGTCCTCAGGGAAGGTATAAGCATCTTAATTTGTAATGATAGTTCTTTGTTAAATATTTTTTCCTAAAACTTTATGCTTTGACAGTGGTAAGACAACAATAGCAGCAAGCATTGGTATTGACAGTGATTTTCCTTATGTCAAAATTGTAAGTTCATTTTGTTGTATAACACCTTAAAGGTTTTCTAGATTATAAACAAACTAATTTTATCACAGGTTTCACCTGCGTTGATAAGAGGTCTAAACGAGAGCAGTATATGTGCAAAAATTGTTCAGGTTTGTTTACTTTCAATGTTATGAATTTAGAAATCAGTTAAAAAGCTTGTTAATTTTCTAATCCTAGTGTTATTTCTTTGGTGAATGAGTGGCTTCACTCTTAGAAATAGAATGTGAAACAAGTATATATGTCACAAGGTTGGAATAGCTTCGATGGAAGAATTATTAGAGAGAGTCACCTTAGATGGTTTGTCCATAAAACGTCAGCCTTATGGTATATTTATTGGATTTGACTTGTGTTAAAAAGGTAGATATAAGTCTTGTTTAGAAAATATTTTTTGGATTTACCTTTTCTTATTTGATATAAATGAGAATTTGACTCTTAAAATCATATAATGAAGAAAAAGATTCATGTAGCTGACCTCGCGTAGTGGATAAGAATTATTGTTGTTCTTAGTGTTATTTATTTGGTAATAAGTTTTAGATTGTTGGGTCTTCTGATCAATCTATATTTTGAACTTATGCTATTCAAAATTCACTCGTTTATTTATTTTCTGCTCAAGTTCTTTGCCAAGTTTTCTAAATTCAAGAATCTTTATTTTCCTTATGTAGGTTTTTGAGGATGCGTATATGTCTCAGTTGAGCATCATTATTCTTGATGACATTGAAGTGTAGGTCTTGAACCTTGCATTTTGATTCACTGTTTTATATAGTTTCTACTTATTTTATTTTCAATGTGCTTTAAAATTTATTAATGATGGCTTTCATTAAGGAATGTTTTCCCCCTTAATCAATGTATAGTTATGGAGCATAGGTTGCGGCGTGATACTAATGTTTCTCAAAATCAATTTGGATTCATGCCGGGTAGGTCGACTGTAGAAGCCATACATTTATTAAGAGGTTTGATGGAGAAATATAGAGAAAATAAGGAGGATCTACATATATTTAGAAAAAGCATATGATAAAGTTCCAAGAAAAGTGCTATGGAGAGTTTTTGAAAAGAAAGGAGTCAATAATGCTTATGTTCAAATCATTAAAGATATGTATGCATGAGCTATTACTAGAGTACACGTTTTACATATCTTGGATCTATTGTTCAGAGTGATGGTGAAATAGATGGGGATATTATCAGCAGAATTCAAGTTGGTTGGTTGAAGTGGAGGAATGCATCGGGCTTGTTATGTGATAAAAATGTACCCCTCAAACTTAAGGGAAAATTCTATAAGATGGTAGTGAGGCCTGCAATGCTTTATGGTGCTGAATGTTGTCCATTAAAAGAGAAGCATAATACTAAGTTAAGTGTGGCAGAGATGAGGATGCTCAGGTGGATGAGTGGCTTTACCCTTAGAGATAGGATACGAAATGAGCATATACGTGAAAAGGTTGGAGTAGCTCCAGTAGAAGATAAGATTAGAGAGAGTCGCCTTAGATGGTTTGGTCACATAAAACGGCGGCCTTCCGATGACCCAGTTAGGAGAGTAGAGGTATTAGATTTGACTTATGTTAAGAAAGGTAGGGGTAGACCTAAAAAGACTTGGTTAGAAAATATTAGGAATGACCTTTCTTTATTAGATTTAAATGATAATTTGACTTTTAATATGACACAATGGAGAAAAAGGATTCATATAGCCGACCCCACGTAGTGGGATAAAGGCTTGATGTTGTTGTTGTTGTTGTTGTTGTAATCAATGTACATGATGGTATACCTTACTTATGTTGCTTCAAAAGTAGGTTCAATATACATGATGGTATTATATCTACTTCAAGTTACTAAATGACATAATATATTTCTTAGGCTATTGGATTATTTTGCCGTTGGTCCTCGATTTTCAAATCTGATTGCACAAACATTGCTGGTCTATCTAGAAAGCCCTCCTCCAAAGGTTTGTAGTTATTATACATATTTCTTCTTATGTTAAAGGAATTGAGAAATTGCATTCATGAATTGGAAGTATCTTTTGTTTTTTTTTTAATATTATTATTTTCAGCAGCAGCTACAAATATGCACCATTTTACATTAGTTCGATCGTTCGTATTTGCCTTTTGTTCTTACTTCAATGACTTTATGTCCTTCGAGCAAATCATATTTTTCTAGGATACTTTAACTGTTTTACGTCATTGATAATTTTTTTTTCCATTTTTTCTATCCTTCACCATTTACTTTTATTATTTTATGTCTAGAGTTATCATGCATATATAATTTTATTGCTTCATATTGATTTTGATGCCTTCACTATCTTATATTAAGGATATAGGGAATTTTTTTTTTAAATTTTTTACAGGGAAAGAATATGTTTGTTATTGGAACTACAAGTAAGGTGGAATTTCTCGAGTCTATTAAATTGTGTAGTGCCTTTTTTGTTACTTATCATGTCCCGGCATTGGCCAAGGCAGATGCCATAAAGGTATTTTTTTTTCTTACAAAGTTATTTGGAGCTAAATTAGATTGGCTAATTTTGCATTTTATCAACACTGCATAATTGTTTCTTTATTATTTAAATAGCATTATTGTAGGCAAATTTTTGGACTTGTGCCTCATTAGAATAATAGTTATTTTAACTTTTCTTTAACCCCATACAACTCTTTGAGATGATGTTAGGAATGCTTGTTAAGGGTAATGTTGTTAACTCATTGTTCTATATGTGAATTTTATTGTGATTTAAGGTTGATTCATAGCCATTTGCTCCAATCTTGATGGACGTAATGCCTAGATATAGGCATGCTCAATGTGATCTCGATTTGAGTTAGGCATGGCTTACTTGCTCGCTGTTCAAGTTGAGCCCAATCTGAGCCAAAAGCAATAATCCTTTAAAAAAAGTTTCACAGACTTTTTAGGGAAATTCCATTTCTACCATACACGCAAGCATTGATATATATTTTACATAGATGCGTATGTAAAAGTCTAAATGCATATACACAGGTACAAGTATAGTATAAGGATTTGGCTTCAAATTTTCCTAAACTATCCAAAATTTAGAAGCTCTATTAGACTTCAAAAGTATTAAAATTGAATTCATAACATTGGAAAATGGTTCTAGGGAGCCAAAAATGCCGTAGAAAACATATTCAGGCTCAAATTTTAATCCAAATCCACATCAACATGTCAAACTAAGTACAAGTTGTTTGCGACTATGTTTATTACACATGCCAGAGTGTGTCCTTGCATGCACACACTTGTCAAATAAATATTTTTTTTTTAAATAAAACATGTCAATTCCACTTAATTGTTTTCCTTTCCTCGAGTTGATATGAAATCTCCATTTTTTATAGCTTCTATTATCTGTATGCATAGGTTTTTTTTTATCATGTTAATGTACAAAAGTCTTACTTTATGGTTGCAAATTTTATTGCACGCAACAATATTAAATTGTCTTTACTTTCGTAAGTTTATTATTATGCTAGCAATTCAGCTAAACTTTGAATACCCTTTCATCCTCTTTTTCTCAATCTCTTGACTAATATAATGCTGTTTAGTCACCAACATTTTAAAAAGAAAGGCGACCCATGAATGTGATCATATTATGTGTAATATCTTTAATTTCAAAATGGTTATACTTCCTAATTATCACTTGAACACAAGTATCAAACATAGGTGTTGGTTGTCTGATAGCGGTGTGCAACTAAAGGTTCAAATTCGATTAATTAATAATATTCGAGATAAATTTGAATTATTCATTGAATGCATTATTTTACTTAGAACCATAATATATATATATATATATCCTCATTGGGGGGGAAATGAATAAGGAGTCTGTTGTGCAGTGGTTGAGGTAGGCCAACAATATGAGCATCGGGAACCTGATTTGTAGCTGAAACATTTCTCTTCTATGCTAGTGGGCATGGTGGTATGGGGAGACAAACTCTCTTGCCAACATTTATGAAAGATGAAATTCAAAGGAATTTGATCTAAAATATGGGTTTGTGTTTCCAACAACTTTGATGCTAAGAAAGTCATTGCGATTGTGAATCTCTAAAGAGGGAGGCTTCTTTTTGAACACTTTGCACTTCAAAAGTCTTCTAAAAGATTGATGTCCACCAAAGTTTCTTACTTTGCTGATGATATTTGGGAGGAGGAGAGAAGGATAAAAGCAAATGGGAGGATGGCTCGCCCCTCTACTTCTGGGGGTTTGTAGTAAGATTCTGGTACAACTCGAAGGATCAATTGCACTGATGTTGCAAAGTAATTAAAAGAAGAAGGAAATATTAAATTAGAGGGCCTAAAGAAAGATAGTGTTGCGCTCCTCAACTCTCATGCATTTGCTGGTGTAAAGAACCCCCCTGATGATATAAAAAATAAGAGCATTGCTGGAGAGAGTTAAAACTTTAGGATCTCCTGGGCACTAAGGTCATTGGTGTGTTCTGAAGACAACTTGGATGAAAGGCATTGGAGGACAGTTCTGAAAGCATTTTGGAACAGAATTCTATCCAATAAATTATATGAGTTAGAGCAGCAGTTTCTGCAAGTTAACTCATCTTTTTTCGGAGAAATTATTAGGTGAGAATCCTGACACAGCTAGCATCTCGGCTCCAATAAAATGAAGCCACATAATTTGTACCACCCTTCATAAAACTTGTACACAGGTATGTATAAGTAGAATTTACACACCTTCATAAATCTAGCAAATTAGACCTCGAAGAAGTCAAATCATTGCAGTGCCTTCACATATTCTTTGTCCTTCACTTCCATCAAGTTCATAAAAAGTATTCTGCTCCAAAAATAACCAGACCTCCCTCCCACTCTGTTTTCCTGAAAATTTTCCAAAAAAAACATAGGAT